TCAGGGACAGACAGAATTGTTACTGAGTGCCAGAGAATTGTTACTTAGGGCCACAGAAACTTTACTTAGGGCCACAGAATTGTTACTCGCACAGACACAGAATTGTTACTCGCACAGACACAGAACTGTTACTGAGGGCCACAGAAACTTTACTTAGGGCCACAGAATTGTTACTCGCACAGACACAGAATTGTTACTCGCACAGACACAGAACTGTTACTGAGGGCCACAGAACTGTTACTTAGGGCCACAGAATTGTTACTCGCACAGACACAGAATTGTTACTCAGGGCCACAGAACTGTTACTTAGGGACAAAGAAACGCTAGTTAGGGCCACGGAATTCATACTCAGGGACAGACAGAATTGTTACGGAGTGCCAGAGAATTGTTACTCAGGGCCACAGAAACTTTTACTTAGGGCCACAGAATTTTTACTCAGGGACAGACAGAATTGTTACTGAGTGCCAGAGAATTGTTACTCAGGGACAGACAGAATTGTTACTGAGTGCCAGAGAATTGTTACTGAGTGCCAGAGAGAAATTGTTACTTAGGGCCACAGAAACTTTAATTAGGGCCACAGAATTTTTACTCAGGGACAGACAGAATTGTTACTGAGTGCCAGAGAATTGTTACTCAGGGACAGACAGAATTGTTACGGAGTGCCAGAGAATTGTTACTCAGGGCCACAGAAACTTTACTTAGGGCCACAGAATTTTTACTCAGGGACAGACAGAATTGTTAACTGAGTGCCAGAGAATTGTTTACTCAGGGACAGACAGAATTGTTACGGAGTGATACCAGCCAGAGAATTGTTACTCAGGGCCACAGAAACTTTACTTAGGGCCACAGAATTTTTACTCAGGGACAGACAGAATTGTTACTGAGTGCCAGAGAATTTGTTACTCAGGGACAGACAGAATTGTTACTGAGTGCCAGATAATTGTTACTTAGGGCCACAGAAACGTTATTTAGGGGGCCACAGAATTGTTACTCAGGGACAGACAGAATTGTTACTGAGTGCCAGAGATTGTTACTTAGGGCCACAGAAACTTTAGTTAGGGCCAGAGAATTGTTACTCAGGGACAGACACAGAATTGTTACTGAGGACCACCACAGAACTGTTACTTAGGGCCAGAGAATTGTTACTCGCACAGACACAGAATTGTTACACAGGGACACAGAACTGTTACTGAGGGCCACAGAACTACTTAGGGCCACAGAATTGTTACTCGCACAGACAGAATTGTTACTCGCACAGACACAGAATTGTTACTCGCACAGACACAGAATTGTTACTTAGGGCCACAGAAAACGTTAATCCAGGGACACAGAATGTTACTGAGGGCCACAGAACTGTTACTTAGGGCCACAGAATTGTTACTCGCACAGACACAGAATTGTTACTCAGGGACACAGAATTGTTACTCAGGGACACATAATCGTTTAATTAAAGAGTATGTCAGACAACATGCAGAGGAGTGGCAGAGGAGGCAATGTTTTAGGAGCGAGCAGACGTGGCAGCAGAGGAAGGGGTCGAGGCAGCACTATTCGCAGCCAGAGGCCAGTGCTCCCGGTGTCATCCAGCGGTCGTGTCTCCACCGACAACCCTGCCGTCGTCGATTGGTTGGCTCGGTCGTCTTCCTCTTCCCAGGTCACCTCTGACACCTACAGCCAACGGTCGGTGGGTACGTCAGACACAACCGTTAGTTGGCATGGCCCCGGGACCAAGCCCACTGAAATCACGTGTCCTCTACCTGCCCCTGTCCTTTGGTGTTCCCTCACCAAGCGAAGTATCGCATGCTGTGGGCTCAGCCCCACTGTACAGTGAGGAGGAAGAGCTAACAGAGGGCGGTCAGGAACGGGGGGAGACATCCGCCTTTTCAGCAGCCAGGCGAAAGAAGTAGTGGCGAGGAGAGTGGCTCGGTAGCCGGTCTAGAGACAGGTCTGTCTCCTGACCCAGACGCAGCCGAGGGGGGGCTAGTAGTGAGGCGGAGACCCTACTTGATGATGAGGAGGTTGATCGCACTTGGCAGCCTCGTCGTCATCAGGCAATTTCTTCCGCATCATCAGGAGAAGAGGGTGGCAGCTTGGCAGCGAGCAAAAACAGTCGGTGGGTTGCCCAGGAGACAGCAGCAGGGTCGCAGCAGTGTCAGTGGAGCCAAACGGCCACGGAGTAGAGCACCAGCTCCACTGCAGCCTACCACCACGGCCAGTAGTGGTGCCGGTGTGCACGTGCAGGAGGAAGTAGCAGTCAGCCAGTGAGGAGTATCGGGGGCAAGTTTCCTACTCGGCGGTGTGGCAATTTTTCGTCAAGCCGCCCGAGGAAGTAAACGTAGCCGTATGTCGACTATGTGGCCAGAAAGTCAAGCGTGGCCAGGGGGCCCATGTTTGGGACTACAGCGTTGCGGCAGCATATGCAGCGTCGCCATTTGGTGGCCTGGGAAAACCGTGATAAAGATACGGCGGTTCTGCCTGCCCCAGCCCCCGCTCCATCACCCGCCGCTCCGTTACTTGCTCCGTCACCCGACGTCAATCGCCCTCTATCAGCCAGTCAAGGCTCCAACACCTCTGCTGAGGGGAGTTGTCGCTCGTTGGCATCTTCCGCTCGTTCAGATGCTCCTTCTCCTGCTACTCCTCTTCACGGATTCCGTCAGCAGTCTTTCTTGGAATCCGTTTCCAAGAGACAACAGTTTGCGAGCACGCACCCGACGGTGCAAAAGCTGAACGTCCTCCTGTCCAAGTTGCTGGTGTGCTGCAGTCCCTCCCTTTCCAAGTGGTGGACTCAGCACCTTTCCGAGAAATGATGGCTTGTGCCGCGCCGCGGTGGAGAGTGCCAAGCCGTCATTTCTTCGCCAAAAAGGCAGTGCCAGCCCTGCATTCACATGTAGAAGAGATGGTGGGCCAGTCTTTGAGCATGTCGGTCTCTGCCAAAGTGCACGGCAGCGCCGACGTGTGGAGCTGTAACTACGGTCAGGGACAGTACATGTCATTTACGGCCCACTGGGTGAACGTGGTGCCGGCACAGCCGCACCAGCAACTTGGACAGGTCACGCCGCTTTTGCCTCCACGTTTGCACGTCCTTGGTCCCACAAAGATGTCCGCCTCTACCACCTCTTCTTCCGCCGTGTCCTCAGCCGCCACCCCCCCGTGCCAAGTCCCATTACCCGACCGGCATATCACATGTGCAGGGCGCAACGGTGTCACGCTGTTCTGCACCTGGTATGCCTTGGCGAACGTAGTCACACAGGGGAGGAACTTCTGAGTGTAATGAACAGAGAAATCGACAGATGGCTGTCTCCGCGCAAACTGAAAATCGGAACCATGTTGACCGACAACGGAAAGAACATGGTGTCTGCTCTGCGTCAAGGAAGGTTGTGCCATGCGCCATGCATGGCTCACGTGTTCAATCTGGTTGTCAAGCGGTTCCTAAAATCCACCATCCCACTGCAAGACATCCTTAAAATGTCACGTAAACTTTGCATGCATTTCAGCCATTCCTACACCGCAAAGCAAAGCACACCCTCCTTGAGCTGCAGCGGCAGAACGGAATTCCACAGCATCGCCTGATCTGCGACGTTGCAACAAGGTGGAATTCAACCCTACACATGTTAGACCGCCTTTACGAACAGCGAAAGGCCATCACCGATTTCCTGATGTTACAAGCGGATAAAGGTACTCCCCTGTGTAACTTCGATGTCAGCCATTGGCAGCTCATGCGTGACACCTGCCGCTTGCTCAGGCCCTTTGAGGAGGCCACGCTATTCGTGAGTCGGCAGCTATGGACTATGGGATGAACGACGTCATTCCTCTGTTGCACGTCCTGGAACAAATGCTGTTAACAATGGCTGGTCAGGGTGCGGTAGACGTGGCGCACAGATCTCAACGCCACATGACCCCTGTGGGGGCAGGACAGGAAGAAGAGGAGGAGGTAGAGGAGGACATTGGTGCTCAGGAATTATTGAGTGAAATGGGTGGTTTTTCCACTCAGCGGACAGGAGTGGAGGAGCAGGAGCATCTGGTAGAGGAGGAGGAGGAGGAGACAGAGGACCCAGACGCACCGTGGCAGTATGCTGTGGAGATGGAGGCAGGGAGGTCCCTCGCATTCCTTGGCACAAATGGCCCATAGCATGCTCGGTTGCTTGCGTAGCGACAGCCGACCCGAATAATAACCATCAGACAGAGGGATGACTTTTGGCTGTCCACCTTGTTGGACCCTCGCTACCGTTCAAAAATGGTGGCCTTTTTCACACCTGCTGAGAGGGAGGCCAAAATAACGTACTATAAAAACCACCTATGTAGTCAGTTGGTCTCTGCCTTTCTGCGCCAACGTCCATCCTCAGACACTGTGGGCCCTGTGCGCTCGCGTTCCGCTGCCATGGCAGCAGGGGAGGGGTGGGGTGGTGGTAGGAGCAGTGGCAGCTCCACCAGCAGCGGCTGCCACAGTCTGCAGTCGATGATGAGTAGCTTTCTTCACCAGCGCAGTGAGGAAACTACTAACCAGCCGCAGCAGCAGCAGCAGCAGCATCAGGTGGACCTGGAGCAGGACCTCAAACAACAGGCTTGGGCCTACTTGGACAGCACCCTGCCAACCGAGGTAGACAATCCCCTTGACTACTGGGCAACGAAACTTGACCTTTGGCCCCAACTAGCTGAATTTGCCCTTGAAAGGCTGTCATGCCCGGCCAGTAGCGTGGCATCGGAGCGCGTGTTTAGTGCGGCAGGAGGTATTGTAACTCCGCGGAGGACACGACTGTCCACCCAAAGTGTGGAGAGACTCACGTTTGTGAAAATGAATCAGGCGTGGATTAGTCTGGATTTCAAACCACCAGTTCCTGACACAACTGACTAAATCCGCCATGAATCATGCCCCAAACATGTGCCACTTTCAGGTCTCCTCACACTGCTGGTGTGTTCCATTTTTTGTCATAGGGTGCTGGCAGATTACGGGCCTCCATTGCTGCTGCCAGGCCCTAATCTGCCATGGGCCCTGTACCGCCTCCTCATGCTGCTGCCAGGTCCAGAGTGTCTCATGGGTCCCTGTACGGCCTCCCATTGCTGCTGTCTCCATCGCCACACTCTGCCATGTGCCACTTTCAGGTCTCTCTCACACTGCTGGTGTGTTCCATTTTTTGTCATTGGGTGCTGGCAGATTACGGGCCTCCCATTGCTGCTGCCAGGCCCTGTAATCTGCCATGGGCCCCTATACCGCCTCCTCATGCTGCTTGCCAGGTCCCAGAGTCTGTCTCATGGGTCCCTGTACGGCCTCCCATTGCTGCTGTCTCCATCGCCACACTCTGCCATGTGTGCCACTTTCAGGTCTCCTCACACACTGCTGTGTGTGTTCCATTTTTTGTCATAGGGTGCTGGCAGATTACGGGCCTCCATTGCTGCTGCCAGGCCCTAATCTGCCATGGGCCCCTGTATACCGCCTCTCATGCTGCTGCCAAAGTCCAGAGTCTGTCTCATGGGTCCCTGTACGGCCTCCATTGCTGCTGTCTCCATCGCCACACTCTGCCATGTGCCACTTTCAGGTTCTCCTCACACTGCTGGTGGTGTGTTCCACTTTTTTGTCATAGGGTGCTGGCAGATTACGGGCCTCCCATTGCTGCTGCTGCAGGCCCCTAATCTGCCATGGGCCCCTGTACCGCCTCCTCATGCTGTTGCCAGGTCCTGCAGTGTCTCATGGGTCCCCCCTGTACGGCCTCCCATTGCTGCTGTCTCCATCGCCACACTCTGCCATGTGCCACTTTCAGTCTCCTCACACTGCTGGTGTGTTGACATTTTTTGGACATAGGGTGCTGGCAGATTACGGGCCTCCATAGCTGCTGCCAGGCCCGTAATCTGCCATGGGCCCCTGTACTACCGCCATCCCTCATGCTGCTGCCAGGTCCAGAGTCTCTCATGGGTCCCTGTACGGCCTCCCATTGCTGCTGTCTCCATCGCCACACTCTGCATGTGCCACTTTCAGGTCTCCTACACTGCTGGTGTGTTCCAATTTTTTGTCATAGGGTGCTGGCAGATTACGGGCCTCCCATAGCTGCTGCCAGGCCCTAATCTGCCATGGGCCCCTGTACCGCCTCCTCATGCTGCTGCCAGGTCCACAGTTGTTCATGGGTCCATGTATGGCCTCCCATTGCTGCTGTCTCCATCGCACACTCTGCCATATGCACTTTCAGGTCTCTCACACTGCTGGTGTGTTCCATTTTGTCATAGGGTGCTGTCAGATTACGGGCCTCCATTTGCTGCTGCCAGGCCCCTAATCTGCCATGGGCCCCCCGTACCGCCTCCTCATGCTGCTGCCAGGTCCAGAGTCTCTCATGGGTCCCTGTACGGCCTCCCATTGCTGCTGTCTCCATCGCCACACTCTGCCATGTGCCACTTTCAGGTCTCCTCACACACTGCTGGTGTGTTCCATTTTTTGTCATAGGGTGCTGGCAGATTACGGGCCTCCCATTGCTGCTGCCAGGCCCTAATCTGCCATGGGCCCCTATACTTTAACGCCTCCTCATGCTGCTGCCAGGTCCACAGGTTTCATGGGTCCCCTGTACGGCCTCCCTAATTGCTACTGTTCCATCGCCACACTCTGCCATGTGCCACTTTCAGGTCTCCTCACACTGCTGGTGTGTTCCATTTTTTGTACATAGGGTGCTGGCAGATTACGGGCCTCCCATTGCTGCTGCCAGGCCCGTAATCTGCATGGGCCCCATACCGCCTCCTCATGCTGCTGCCAGGTCCAGAGTCTCTCATGGGTCCCTGTACGGCCTCCCATTGCTGCTGTCTCCATCGCCACACTCTGCCATGTGCCACTTTCAGGTCTCCTCACACTGCTGGTGTGTTCAATTTTTTGACATAGGGTGCTGGCAGATTACGGGCCTCCATAGCTGTGCCAGGCCCCTAATCTGCCATGGGCCCACATATATACCGCCTCCTCATGCTGCTGGCAGGGTCCAAGAGTCTACTCTATGTGTTTATATAATCCTGTACGGCATCTCCCATTGTGCATGTCTCATCGCACACTCTGCCATGTGCATCTTTCAGGTCTCCTCACACTGTGGGTTTTTTGTGTCTTGACATTTTTTGACATAGGGTGAATGGCTGATTTACGGGCCTAAATAGCGGTTAGCTGCTGCCAGGCCCTAATCTGCATGGGCCCCACGTATACAGCAAAATCCTCTCATGCTGCTGCAACGTCCAGAGTTGTGTCATGGGTCCTGTTACGGCCCTCCCATTTGCTGCTGTCTCCATCGCCACACTCTGCCATGTGCCACTTTCAGGTCTCTCACATGCTGGTGTGGTGTTCATTTTTTGTCTTAGTGGTGCTGGCAGATTACGGGCCTCCCATAGCTGTGCAGGCCTTAAACTGCCATGGGCCCCTTACACTCCTCATGTGCTGCCAAGCAGAGTCTGTCTGGGTCCCCTGTTACGGCCTCCCATTGCTGCTGTCTCCATCCGCAACACTTGACATGTGCACTTTTCAGGTCTCCGCATCTCACACTGCTTGGTGTGTTTCAATTTTTTGACAATAGGGTGTGGCAGATTACGGGCCTCCC